ACTGAGCCAGCCAGGTGCCCCCCTCCCCCACTTCTGAATTAACACCTTTCCATCACTGATGTCTGTGAACAAAGGATAGCTGCCAATACTGAAAGTTGAGAGACCTAAGATGTCTTCAATGTAGGAAATTCTAGAACCTTTAAAGCTGAATGTGGTGGTGGGGCACCTGGGTGGCTCAATTGGTTAAGCGACTGCCTTCAGCTCAGGTCATGATCCTGGAGTCCTAGGATCGAGTCCCGCATTGGGCTCCCTGCTCAGCTGCGAGTCTGCTTCTCCCTCTGACCCTCCCCCCTCTCATGCTCTCTCTATCTCATTCTCTCTCTCAAATAAATAAATAAAATCTTTAAAAAAAAAAAAGCTGAATGTGGTGGTTAAGATAATAGTCACTTATTTGTCTTGTGACTTGGGAAAGTGGGTTAACACCTGTGCCTCAGTTTCCTTATCTATGAAATGAGGAAGAAGAACAAGAAAAGTGACCACCTGTGAGAAACTAAAAAATGACTCTGTTGACATCTAGGTCCTGCTAAGAAAATAAAAATAATTCTTCATAGCAGAATGTTCCCAAATGGACATAAACAATCACAGAATATGAACAATGTTCAGAGAAGTTTACAGCATGACTGTGTTTGGAATAAGACAAAAAACAAAGCCCTCCACAACTGTAAAAATGAGGGAACACCCCCTTCTTCTAACATGAGTGATGCTGCCCCTTGACCAATGACAACTCTAGCCTTGCTTTAGTCCTCCTGCCTCCTAAATAAAAATTAAGACCCTTAATCACTGAACTGCCTGTTTCCTGAGTGAATCTAATTCTAAATTGCCCCCTCCACCTGCCTAATCCCTCTTTAAAATCATCCAGCACAAGTCCAAATTATTTAAGAGGTTCCACCTAATTCTCTTTTCTTGAGAGGATCCTTCCTTAAGCAAGATCAGTAAGCACTTCAGGCATCTTTTTATGTGAGCTCTAACATGTTGGGGAGAAAGAATCTCCTCTGCCCTTCAGAGTTCTTCTAGCTGGACTAAGTCTCAAACTGAGATGAGACAGATTAGTGGGGAAAAAATCAACTTTAATAGCATACATATGAGCAGTCCACACAGACATGGAAATTCCAAAGACAGTGAGTCACATGAGGCTTATATGAGCTAAGGAAAGGGGTAGGGGTCTGAAGATACAAAGGGAGAAAAAGACCTTTAGCAGGAAGGTGGGAAGAGATGTTTGGAAAATAAAGATGTTTGCCCTATGCCAAAGTGACCCATCTTGGGTCAGCCTGCCCTTGGCCCCTACAAACATATACATCAAAATATATACTAGAATATTCACATTGGCCTTATTCAATACAGACAATAAAATGAGCACATAAATTACAGAATAATTAACATAATGGAACATTACATAACAATGAGAAACAAGCTACAGACTCAACAACATGGATGAATCTCATATTGTTGAGCAAAAGAAGCTAGACTCCAAGAAAAATATACTGTATGGGGATGCTTGGGTGGCTCAGTCGGTTAAGTGTTCAACTCAGGTCATTATCTCAGGTTTGTGGGACTGTGCCCTGAATCAGGTCCATGCTCAGCAGGGAGTCTGCTTGAGATTTTCTCCCTCTCCCTCTGTCCTTCCCCCAACTCTTGCATGCTCTCTCACTCTAAAATAAATAAATAAGGTGTGCCTGGATGGCTCAGTCACCTTTGGCTCAAGCTATGGTCCCAGGGTCCTGGGATCAGGCCCTAAATCAGGCTCCCTGTTCAGTGGGGAGTCTGCTTTTCCCTCTCCCTCTGCCCCCTCCCCCACTCGTGCTTTCTCTCTCCCTTGCTCTCTCTCTCAAGTAAATAAATAAAATCTTTAAAAATAAAATAAAATAAAATAAATAAGTCTTTAAAAATATATATATAGGGGCCCCTGGGTGGCTCAGTCGATAGCGTCTGCCTTCAGCTCAGGTCACGATCCCAGGGATCGAGCCCTGCATTGGGGTCCCTTGTCTGCGGGAAGCCTGCTTCTCCCTCTCCCACTCCCCCTGCTTGTGTTCCTTCTCTCACTGTGTCTCTTTCTGTCAAATAAATAAAATCTTTAAAAAAATAAAATAAAATAAATATATATATGCTGTATGGTCCATTTGTATTAAATTTGAATACAGGTGAAACTAATCCAGGGTGTTAGCCATTAGTTTAGTGACTACCCTTGTGGAAAATGGGAGGAGGCATTAGGGGGGCCTCTAGTTCCAGGTAGTTTGTTGTCCTTTCTCTGGGCGCTAGTTATGTGGATATGTTGAAAATTCAATAAACTGTACTTATGATTTGTGCACTTTTCTATGTGAACGTTAATGTGAATAAAAAAGGTTTTTTTAAAAGTGGGCAACCACTTAAAAGGGACATAGGAGCCTACCTGAAAAAGCTCCTAATTAATAAAGCTGAAACAATTTCATCAACAAAGTAACTTAATATTGAATTGTAAACACAATCATGAGTCCATACTCATAAAATTTATGGTTAAATAAGTAACTAAATGGGGGAGAAGAGACAAATCTCCCTTAGAGAAGGTTATCTACATATATACTCCTCACTGCAGGAGGTAGAGTTTAAAACATCCTCCACTCCCCAACCTGAGTGTGAACTGCACTTAATGACTCACTTCCAAAGAGTAGAGTGTGGAAGTAACTTTACAGTGGAGAAGACTGGCAGACCCTACCTGAGCCAGGTGATCAAAGTTAACATCATCATTTGCTAGCATGTAATCTTCATCTGATGTGATGAGAATGGCAAGTCACCTCTGGTTTTCCTCCTAAAAGCCCATAATCCTAGTCTAACTGTAACTGAACTCCAGGGGTGCTGCTGCACTTGGGGTGCATCAAATTGAACATAACCCAAAGAAGTGTTGAAAGCAAAGAGCTTTTTGTTTTCAAAAAATTTTTTTAAAATTTCATTTATTTAATAGAGAGAGGGAGGGAGTGCAAAGAGGGAGAGTGAGAGGGAGAAGCAGATCCCCCACTGACCAGAGAGCCTGATGTGGGACTCAATCCTAGGACCCTGAGATCATGACCTGAGCCGAAGGCAGACACTTAACCAACTGAGGCACCCAGGCACCCCAAAAGCAAAGAACTTTTTATTACTCGTTACTTGTAAGGAGACAGACAGTTCTCAAAGCACTGTCTTCCTATGGATTAGTACAGGATGCTTTTAGTCACTGTATTAGTGGGCAGGGCAGGCAGCTTGCATATACATTAAGGGACTTATATATATTTTATTACTTACACTCTTTGCTTCGCCTATGCTTGTCTAACACATTAACATGCTAGTGCATATAGGTATGTTCAAGAAATGGCAGAAGATCCCACCTATAGGAAGAGATCTTAGTGTTATAATGAGCTAAAGGCAACTTTAAGACAACTTGGGGAAAAATAATAATAAATAAATAAATAATAAAGGGGCTCTTGGCTGGCTCGATTAATAGAGCATGCAGCTCTTGATCTCGGGGTTGTAAGTTCAAGCCCCATGTTGGGTATTGAGATTACCTAAAAATAAAATCTTCTTGGCGGCACCTGGGTGGTTCAGTCAGTTAAGCGCCCGACTCTTGATTTTGGTTCAGGTCATGATCTCAGGGTTGTGAGATGGGCATGGAGCCTGCCTAAGATTTTCCCTTTCCCTCTCTAATAATAATAACAAAAATAATAATAAAATAATACAATCTTAAAAAAAATAAAAAGACAACTCAGTGGGGCTTCTGCATAGATCCTCAGCTCTAGTCCTGCTCAAACTGTCTCATGTAAGGGGCTGTCATGTGAAACACCTAGCCGGGTAGTCTCCTTGGTTGGAACTGCTGGTTCTGCAAAACAAAACACATTCCTCCCCTGCTTTTGTCCCTTCCCGCTCCTCCCTTCTACTGAGAGCTTTTAGCCCTCTGATCTAAGTAACTTCCCTGCTGCATCCTAGCTAACAGGGGCAGGGGTGTCCTGAGAAGGTAGACCCCATTGATTGAAGGCCCATGAAGTCATGTTAGCAGGTGTCCTGATGCCATGCCACTTTGTCTGGTCCTCTGTAGGTCTTTTCCATTTTAAGAGAATTGGAATCTAAAATATACCTTTATTCTTTATGCTAAAGATTTCATTAGATATATTTGATAATTGTTATCTCTAGGCTAGTGCTGATTAACTACTTGTCCCACAGGTTGCTTTGAAAGATAAAGCAGGCATTCCTATCCCTGGAGGCTAGGCCTAAGTGTTCCTTGTTTGGTCCAGCTGTGCCTGGGGACAATTTGCTTCTGTTCTGAATTGACAGGATGAATGTCTGGGTGCCAGCTTCATAACCATGAAGAAAATAAATCAAATCAAATGTGCAGTCTTCAAAAATCCTGACCAGTACTCCCTAAAGCTGTCAAAATCATCAAGGACAAGAGAAATCTGAGAAACTATCACAGTCAAGACTAGCCTAAGAAGACATAATGAATGTAATGTGATGTCCTTGACAATCCTGGAACAGAATGGGGACAGTGGGGAAAATTGATGAAATTACAAAAAATATATGGTAATGTACCAATCAAGGTCGTCTCTTAGATGTGACGGATGTACCAGTTATTTAGTGAAAATCTATGATGCTCACAACACGGGAAACTAGGTGGGGAGTATACAGGAACTCTATGTATCATCTTTGCAATTTTTCTGCAAATATAAAACTATTCTAAAATAAAATGTTTCGTTTACGGGAATTGCAATAGTGTCTTCTCACAGAATTGGGAGAAATCAGTGAAAGCGTACAGGTGTCAGGTGTTATTATTGGGATTTTACGTAAAACGCGGGAGGAAAGCTCTGACACTTAGGAATTTTGACCAGGATAAGCAAGGGGTAATCGCGTGCAGATCCCTCCCTGGCTACCCAGCACACGCCCACAACCCCGAGTGAGCATCCGTCCGGTCGGGCGCGCACGCATACGCACACGCACACGCACACGCCGCCGGGGGCGGGGCGCTCGGGGGACGCCTGCGTGGGGCGGGGCCAGCCGCAGTTCCCACACCCGCGGCGGCCCCCGGAAGTGGTGTGTACCAGGATGCCGTGGAGCGGAAGCTGTCCCTGGCGGGAGTCAGTGGGGCTACCCGGCCTGAGACTCTGCCTCTTGTTGCTAGACGACGCGAACTAGCCTTCGTCACTTCCTCAGCCCGCCGCCTCCCCACTCCCCAGGCCGGAACCCAGGGGCCCGGAGCCGGGGTGGGCTCGTCTTCCGGGGTCCAGGACCGCAGCTAGCTCGGCAGCTGGAATCGAGGCCACGCCACCTGCGGGGAAGAACCTAAGCTGGGGTGGGAAGATGGCTGCAGACAAGCCTGCAGGTGAGGCTCCCACGCCCCGTGTGCTGAAGCGGTGGGACACGCAGGGGTGGGCCGACCCTGGCGCTGAGTCTGTGGGGACTAGGGGGTGGGGGCCCGAGGGCGATTTTAATTTGGGTGTGCATTTGTCTCCCCCGTCCTCTCCCTCGACCGTCCCATATGTGAGTCTTTGGGCCCCAGATCGATAGTTTGTTTTTGTTTTTGTTTTTATCTAAGTGCAGTATGAAGCCACTACTGACCGCCTTTGCCCCACTCTCCAGAATATCTGACTTAAATTTAACCACTTCACAGGCTTTTCGGTTTTCCAGTGGGGAAGGCAGAACAAGCAAAGTTCACCCTGGAGCACACAGCTGCCTTAAGTCCCCTGGCTCAGGATAAGACTCACCTGGGCTGTTTTGCCCCACATAAGCCTGCCTCTGGTCAGCGACGTCCTATGTAATTAGTTTTGTGAAAACTATTTAAGTAGACATAACATTAGAGCGTCTCTATTCGTTCTATGCTCGCAGATATCTTGGGTTTAGAACCTATTTTCCCGTAGTTCCTCAAGGTTAATTAATTTAATCTCGATTATTTTCTTTATGGATTACTGCTCCATTCCTAGAATCTTCTCCATTAGGGTATGTAAAATTCTTTCCTGCCTACCTCTGGGACGATCTGCCATATGTGTCTTTTAAGAAATTAATGTTCTCTGTGGCATCTCAATTATGTTGGGAGAGTTTAACTGACAGATCTTAGAAGTGGTCAACACTAAGACTTTTTGCAGTGAAATTTAAAAAAAAGAAAAGACAGTCTCTATATTCTGTAGATTTTGATCTCAGTAAGGGACAGATGGACTTGATTTGAAATGAAAGTGAGCCAATCCTAATATAGGTACAGATGAATAAAATTGTTGAAAGATCTCTTCAGTAAACTGAGAAGAAAAACAATAGAGAAAAGGTTTACAAAGTGAGGATAATAGAATATGCTGTAGAATTTTAGGTAGGCTGGTCACAGAAAGGCTCGGGTGAAGTGATATTTGAGCAAATACCCACATGAAATGAAAGAGCCATATGGAATGGTTAGGGTGGATAGGGAGAATGTTCCAGGCAGGAAATAAGCATGACTTGTCCAAGGCTGGACGAAGGGGACCAGCATCTTCCTTCTTAATTGATGACCGTTATCTGTTCCCCAGGTTTACCATTCCTCCTTGCCCATATCTTTTGCACTTGCCTGGAATGACCTTTTTAGGCCTAAAGCCCATCTAGTTTTCAAGTCCTACCTCAGTCATAAAGCATTCTTCTACTTGTTCATTCACTCACAAAGATTGAGTACCAGGCACTGCCTTGGATATTGAAGAAATGGGTATGACACACTCCCTGCCTTTGAAGACCTACTGCTCAGTTTGTGAGAGCCCTAATATAGTGGTACATCCATTTGGTAGTATGTATGTAATATAGCATGTAACGTAGCTATGTAATACGTGTAGTGGAGGAGTAAGGTCCAGGGCGATTTGGGACTGTGTCTTTGGTTGAAGTTCATAGGCCATGTTGTAGGAAATTCTTACCTAGATAATGTTAAATTTGTATTAAGTAGATGAGTGTTTAATGTGGTTCCTTTGAATCTCTCCTCCTCTCCATCCCCATTTCACCTGCTGTGATTCTAGCTTTTATCTCTTAATGGGGTCTGTTTCACATTAAGCAGCCTTCTGACTGCTGTTTGTTTCTCTTCCTATCCAGTCCATTCTTCTCACTGCTGTCTTTTTATTCTAAAACACGAATTGGAACATACTATTCCCACCCCTGTAAACTTTCTAAGATTGTACCATCTTGTGTGCATCAGATCCTCACCCTTTAATGTCATTTGTGAAACTTCACAGTCTGTTTCCAGCTGATGTTTCTATATCAACACACCTAGCTCTTCACACCAGAAATGACTCTCTTGAAAAGCATTGTGTTCTTTTGAGTTTCTGACTGGTAAGAAAGAAGGGAAAGTGGTATCTTCCTTTCTCTTCTCAATCTGGTAAACACTCTCTTCATTCAAAGTCTAGTTTATATGCTGCTTCATCTCTGAGCTCCTGAGCTCAGAGCCCTTGTCATGGAGGGTATTGTGTGCTTATTCTTAATTAGGTAAGAAAAGAGACCCATGAAAGCGTTTAAGAAAGTAAGTGACCTGGGGTGCCTGGGTGGCTCAGTCGTTAAGCATCTGCCTTCGGCTCAGGTCATGATCCCAGGGTCCTGGGATTGAGCCCCACATCGGGCTCCCTGCACTGCGGGGAAGCCTGCTTCTCTCTCTCCTACTCCCCCTGCTTGTGTTCCCTCTCTCGCTATGTCTCTCTCTGTCAAATAAATAAATAAAATCTTTAAAAAAAAAAGAAAAGAAAGTAAGTGACCTGATCATAGTGTGGGAGGGGGTAGATTTAAGTGAAACAAGACTGGAAGGCCAGAGAATAGCTAAAGCCAGCTAATGTTGTGATATTAATTTATTCCGTAAATATTTACCCATGGTCTGCTTTGCCAGGCACTAACATAATCTCTGTAGTTCTGAAGCTTATAGTATGAAAGACGGATAAACATGTAAACAAAATAAGAAATAATTGTGACTTTTAAGTTGTGATAAATATTGTGACAAAAAGGAAAATGAATAGGATATGAGAGGATAATGAGAGCAAGGACCCTGTTTTGAATAGATTGGAAGGGCTCTCTTAGAAGTAACATTGGAACCCTCAATATAAAGAGCCAGCCATGTGGGGGAAAAATGATCCAGGTAAGAGGAGCAACAAATGTACAGACCCCTTGGAAAATGTTTAAAGAGAGTGCGAAGACCCCTTGAATATAAGCACCTCGAAGAAAGGTACTTTTATCTGTGTTAGTCCTGCTCTTATCTCCAGTGCCTAGAACAATGGCTGGCATATAGGAGGCACTCGATACGTATTTATAGCATACTGAGCAAAGGAGCATGAAAGATGAATTCAGTTGTGTTGGGCTGGCCTATGTCAGTTTGAGTTCATTCTAATGGGAAGCCATTGGGAGATTTCAGCAAGAGCATCATGTGACATGATTTATGTTTTAACTGAGGTAGGTAAGAACTGATGAAGAGATAGAAGTAAGGGGTTTGAAACCAGACAGCCTGGGTTCATCCTAGCTCTACCACTTGGTATCCATGTGACCTTGGGCAAATTTTCTTTTGTAAAGTAGGCTCCACACCCAGCATGGAGCCCAACAGAGAGCTTGAACTCGCTGACCCTGAGATTAAGACCTGAGCTGAGATCAAGAGTCAGACGCTTGGGGTGCCTGGGTGGTTTAGTTGGTTAAGTGTCCAACTCTTAATTTCAGGTCAGGTCATGATCTCAGGGTTGTGAGATCGAACCCCATGTGGGGCTCTGTGCTCAGCAGGGAGTCTGCTTCAGATACTCTCTCTGCCCCTCTCCCCTGCTTGCTTGCTCGTGCGCTCTCAAATAAATATATAAATGAGTCAGACGCTTAACCAACTGAGCCACCCATGCACCCCTTGGTTAAATGTTAAGACCCTTTTTAAGCCTCAGCTTTCCTCTGTAAAATGAAAATGATAACAGTATCTGTGTGTCAGCATTAATAAAGGGTTAAAATGACATCATCTCAGGGCCTGATTTTTTTTTAAATGTGGGCTGATATTACTTTGGGGTAAGCGGTAGGATGGAAAGGAGAGGCAGATATGAGAATGTTTAGGGAGTAAAACTGGCAGAATTTGTGAACTAATTGGGTATAGTAAGTGAGCAGAAACCTTTTTCCTTAGGAAAGGTTTTTAGTTGGACCTCAGTTTCTTCATTTGTAAGATGGGTGTCCTAGCAGTTTTCTAACTTTTTTTTTAAGATTTTATTTTTCAGTAATCTCTATACCCAACATGGGGCTCAGACTTAATAACCCCAAGACCAAGAGTCACATGCTCCACCAACTGAGCCAGCCAGGTGCCCCCTAACTTCTAATAGCATTTTATTTTATTTATTTTATCTTACTTTTTAAGATTTCATCCATTTATTTGACACAGAGAGAAAGAGAGCGAGCACAAGTAGGAGGAGTTGCAGAGGGAGAGGGAGAAGCAGGCTCCCCACTGTGCAGGGAGCCCGACATGGCACTTGATCCCAGGACCCTGGGATCATGACCTGAGCTAAAGGCAGACACTTAACTGACTAAGCCACCCAGGTGTCCCTTTATTTTTTTTAAAGATTTTATTTATTCATTAGAGAGAAAGCAGGGGGAGCGAGGGCAGAAGGAGAGGGAGAAGGAATCTGAAGCAGACTCTGCCCGACTTGGGGCTCGATCCCATAACTGCAAGATCATGACCTGAGTTGAAACCAAGAGTCGGACATTCAACCAATTGAGCCAACCCAGGTGCCCCCCAGTAGCATTTTTATTTATCTCATAGGGTTGTAGCTTAAGTGTATCAACTGAGGTAAGGTGTACTATTTAGCTCACATCCTCTGAGAAGCAGAACTCAAAGTGCTTTTTATTTGGAAGGTGCAAACTCAAGATAGTAAAAGTGAGAGAGAGAAAAAAGGAAGGTGCAGTACATTAATACCTGGCTCCTGTTTCACCTTGAGCTAAGAGACAGAGCATGTCACTTGCATAAGGGATTTTTCTGAAAGGGTTTCAAGGAGAAACTACACTCCAGAATAGTTCATATGAAGAGAGAAAAAAGGGATAATTTATCTGTCCAGTTTCCTCCCATTTCCTGTTTCCAACTGGTAAAGACTTACTCCCTGAGAAATAAATTGACCTGTGCTTCTGGATTGTGTGGCTTCTCAGTGACTGATCTGCCAGCGGTTCTCATGCTCTCATTTGTATTTCAGCCAAACTGTAGAGGAGGGTGGATGGGGGACCAACCAGAGACAAAGATTGAGGGGGGCATTGGGAGGTTCACAAGGTCCATGTCCCTATATGACATATAAAAGTGATGTGAAACTGGTTGGATTTTTGATTAAGGAAGTACCAACAGTGTTTTAGGATGATTTATTTGACCTTATTTTTTTATGGTTATCTGAAGGGAGA